TTTCGTCTGGCCAAAGATAAATGGTGAAGATGTTATACCAAAAACAAGATTACTTGCCACAAACAACCCAATGGAGCTTACCTCTCTAAGGAAACCTCCATGGGGACCACTCCCGTTGGTTCCACTTCTTCAGCATACACACTACTATCAATCAACAGCAGTTTGATGTGTTCAATAACACCTGACATCATCTTAAAATACAAATTTAAAGTAAGTAAACTCTTTCACTTCCAAGATCTCATTTATTTGGTAATTCTCCTAACTGTCTGCCATACAATTCTCATGATGTTAGTTTGGAGAATTTGGTATTGGATTAACTGATGATCTCCTAATTTATATTTTTCTTTACTCTCATCTCTTATCTGCTTGATACTGTGCTGAAGTTGTAAAGGGAAATTCTGTCTTGGTCACTCATGGGAGTGTATGTATTTATTAGGTAAATATTAAATAAATAAATACGTTAATTGAGGCTCCCCCTTAGGGCTTTTCAGTCACAATGTAGACTAACTAAGTACTTGAAAATCCCCACTGCAGGCAGGAGGCAGACCCGTGGGCTATTTACAGAGCGCAGCCGAGGAGTTGAACTAGGGGCAACTGAGAAACAAATCCAGTGAGTGGCAAGGTGGAGGACTTGAACCCGGGACACCGGATTACAAGTCCAGCACCCTAACCACTCGGCCACCCTGCCTCCTTGTAAGTAACTCTTTCTGATAAATGTGCATCATGGTAGTCATACTAACTTGATTAATTCTTTGACCTCTAAGAGTGTACAATATTACCCCTGAATCAAATAATTAGGTCACAAGAGTAAAGGAAATGATCACCAGCTTAGCTCTTGATTGTTAAACAAATTCTCCTTGTCCGCACCCAAGGAAATGTACAGAGACCAGTATGGAGAATATACATACTGGTGTCAGGGTGTAAGGGATTTAACAACACACATACACGCAAACAACTTTCCCACTATAGCTCCATCTTGATGAAACATTCTTGCTCAATATGCATTGAAACACTTTTCTGTTTGGAAACTTTTGCTTTCCTTTCAGTTTGTTTGAGAATGGAATTCTCTGCATATGGTCTCAGCTTATACCCAAGTATTTTCAATTTACATGTTTTAAGAACCTTCCTGATTAAAACAGACTGAAGTTGCTGAGAGGAGGCGGCGTGGCCAAGTGGTTAGGGTGCTGGACTTGTAGTCCGGTGTCCCGGGTTCAAGTCCTCCACCCTGCCAATCACTGGATTTGTTTCTCGGTTGCCTCTAGTTCAACTCCTTGGCTGCGCCCTGTAAATAGCCCACTGGTCTGCCTCCTGCCAGTGGGAATTTTTAAGCTCTTAGTTAGTCTACATTGTGGCTGAAAAGCCCCTAAGGGGGAGCTTCAATTAACGTATATTATTATTATTATAATTATTATAGATGAATAAATATGGTATATTTGATTTTGAGTAGATTCAAACCTATAATTAACACATGTCTAAAACATTGTGCCCTTATCAAAAACAATATGCACTAAAAACATTTACCAGATGAGGGTAATTTTCACCTGAATTGACCAATCAGAGTGCTTTGTTTCTTTCAGTTTACTGTCAGGTAAAGTTTACCCTAGTGGGGTAAACTTGCCATGAGCAATTCACCCGTTAGAGCCCTTCTATGGGCTGTATAGACGCAAAATAATCACATTCTTTCAATTGTGCCTTCTTAGAATCATTTTTTGCGATTTGGAGTTGAAAAAGGTGCAAAACTGATCAGCTTATATCTAGGATGGCGCACTTTTGGATTTGTTGGGATTCGAAAATTGACACGGCTATGTTTGCAAAGTCATGTTTGTTTTACCTTTATGATAAAATATTGTTGACATGAAGGTGTTTTATTGACAGGTTTTCTGTGACAAGGGGCACTTTCCATTCAACAAAAATCACAGGTTCAAAATGTCAGTATTTTTGCTGGCTGAATGGAATGCATCCAACCATATCCAGGAGGGTACACTCAGAACGTATTCCTAAATTTTCAAACACTTATCCCAGAACTTTTCCTGTTCCATTCAATTTCTGACCGGAAATCTCAAAAATTTTGGTCAAATGGAAAGCACCCACCATGACACATGTAATCTTTAACCATCTTGATGCCACATCACGCTCTGAAACCTGCTGAGATGTTTGTTGATTCCACAAAAGAGGAATCAACAAACATCTCAAGATTGTCACTGTAGCCTAAACCATTCTTAAGTTCTGGAATTATTCTAGTTGTAAAATGTCATATTGGAGAACGAGGTGACGAGCATGTGCGGCACTTTCCAATTGCCATTGTTTTTTACTTCCTTTTGTTGACTGCTCGGACAATAGTCCAAATAATAGAATAACTAGTAGTTTCAATGTGAAAGTGGGTGCTGGCATCAGAGCTTGAAGGAAATACTGATAAATCAACTTGAAATTAATGGTATAATTTGGGTTGGTGTGGCTTTTTAAAAGAGAATTGCAATTTTTCCAACTAGTTCAGTTTTAAAGGGCTTTAGTGAAACAACAACAGAGCCCCCCAAAATTTTTTTCTGAATTAAGAAAAGAACGTTTACTCCGAATGGCACCATTTTCGACTAACACTTCACTGCTGCTGAATGCACTGAGAAAAAATATTTCCATGAAGTAGTACTTGATCGATATCTTGGCAACTCTATTCGTGAATCGACAAAAATTGTTCGCATAATAGAGCAGCCAAACACATAAAATTCTCTAGTCCTCTAAGAGTCATCACTAAACCATTCAAGACCTTGATGAATACTTCCGCAAGCAATTAAAGACATCTATATTAAAAACTCATCTTGTCTATTGTGCCCTTGATTTCAAGCAGAGTGGGATGGCTGTCTAACGATATTTCCACGTGCATTTCACACGATGTCATCACAAACATCCTGGATATAAAACATGCAATCGACTGCACATGTCTCCGATCTAACATCTTGATGAAAACAATATACCTTTTGCAGGTGTCCTTCCCGAAAGAAATTGTCAACGCACTGTTTGAAGCGTAACTACCGTAAACTATATTTATTTATTCTACTTAAGCGGGACAATTCTATTTGGGTAAAGTGGGTAAGTTTCTAAAGAAACTGTGGTGCTGCATCAGAAGGGGAGTACAACAAGGTAATTATGGTTTCATCAACTGAGTCGGGGAGCAGGGATGGCCTAGTGATCAGAGTACTCGACTCCCACCACTGTGGCCCGGGTTTGATTCTTGGACCTGGCGTCACATGTGGGTTGAGTTTGTTGTTGGTTCTCGTCCTTGCTCCACGGGTTTTTCTCTGGGTCCCCTGGTTTTCTTCCCTCCGCAAGAACCAACATTCCAAATTCCAATTTGATCTGGAAACAGTGGACAAGAAGAGCCACCCAGTGGAATATCTATTGCTATATTATTTATTATTTATTATCATTTTAATATTATTACTAAATAAATGTAAATTGGCCACTTAGCTTAGCCTGACCCTAGCTTTGAAACTCTTTACAGTGGCTATTTTACATTATCAACTCAGTTGATATAACCATTATTACTTTATTTGGATAAGATAAGCTCATCTCCATTGAAGATGTGGTAAAATGAAAATGTGGCAAAAGTTAGGATAAGGATTGTGGCTAGCAAACAAACATACTAAGTGTAAATGGCACACCTCTTTAATTTTCCTGTTCTCCTCTTCTGTCCACTGATTGGTTGGCTTGTTAACCCCTGTTGCCCTTTTTGCCCAGAGAAGAACAGCTCGCCAGAGCTCTTCTTCTGACACTGCAAACTGTGTGCAAGAGGAGAGTGGAAATAAAAGCTACTAGTAAGTCTGAAATTGGAGATGGCTTGAGGCAAAAAGTAGGAGATGGGGGCCAACGGAAACAGTCATCTCTTTTAATTAGAAGCGAAATTCAGGTCAGCAATGACACTTTCTATACAAGGACACCTTTCCTTTAGCCCTTTAACCTCTCAGGTGATAAGCATCTAATTTCTCCCAACATTATCACCCTCAAATCAAACATTAAGGTCACAAGAATAAAGGAAAAGATTGAAAACTCAAGATTCTCCTAGTAAATACCATGGGAAATGTGTAGGGAACAGTATAGAGGACTTGCACACTGGTGTTATGATGTAGAAGATTGAAACAGAGGTAAATAGTTAAGGGAAATAACAGCTGTTGAAAAGGCTATGATAAATTATTTAAGAATTTTTTTCTCAGCTGTTAAGTTTATGTCTGTGGAATACACATGTTTTCCTTTATGGCGGTGTTGTGAAACCACATAAAAACTCTACCTCACTGGGGCCTGTTTCTTGAAAATCCTCTGGTAACTTAACGAGTTCATAAAGCTGTTCTGTTTTCATTCAAAATGGGGATTTCAAAAGTTTTGAAAATGATACAATAAAACTATCAGCTAAAGAAACAAAGAGGACTGGTTTGGGTGCCAGAAACTGCTTTCCTATCCTTTAAATATTGGTTTCAAAACATGGCTTCGGGCTCATTAAGTTACCGGGACTTTTGAGAAATGGGCCCCTGATCCCCTTGTTTTAAACTTGTCCAAACCACCACCGAGAGTTAAATTTGTCACATCTACCTGGTCACTTGACACAAGTCTGATCATTGCTGGTTTTGGAAGGAGGAGAAATCCTTCAGTTTTGACAACCTCTTCAGCATTTTCCTCCATGAATGCGATACATTTGCCCACAAGTGAAGACGTGCCTCTAGCACTTCCTTCCTTTGAAAGTGACATTGCATCTGCTAGAAATTCTGAGGCACTTTCTGTACTCAGATTGTTCATAAAATACTGTTCACAGGCCATTTGTAAGTCAGTTATTTCCAAATCCTCAGCTATTCTCAGCATCTCAAAGGCTGTGCGACTGTGAAACTCAACCTGATAAGAGTTTTTTTTTTTAATTTTAATTTAGATTATCAAAATCAAGACCATACAAGCTGAATAGATAAATTTACATGTGGAACCATATTTTGGGGGCGGAGGGGTTAAAGTAGCATGTATTTTAACCCTTTTACTCCAAAGATCTGATAAGAGATTCTCCTTATTGTCTATCATATGATTTTTACGACTTTGGTTTGGAGAATTTGGCACTGGATCAATTAAAACTTCTCTGATTGATAATTTTCTTTATTCTCATTACTTGTCTGGTGGATATTGTATTGATATTGTGGGGAGAAATTCTGTCTTGGTCACTCATGGGAGTGAAAGGGTTCTAAGAAGTGGATTTAATTTCTTGTTCTGATAGTAGAGCTGTCCTTAGTGCGAGAGTATGAAAAATTTGCAGCCGGTTGTACTTGGCTTTACGTATAGGTGAGATTAAGTCTGTACTGCAGCCAAATGGCCCACTTAAACGGAACTATCGCTTCTAAACGAATAATAACTTCATTATAATGCTTGAATTGGTATTTGATATTAAATTAAATGCACACGAAAGTACAATAATTAACATCGATTTTAAGTTGAATCTTAAGAATTACCTTTCCGGTGTACACAAACTTTAAAACGTCGCGGAACACATCAGCTCGGAAGTCGGGCTTTCTCACGGTCAGCTGCGAATGGTTCGATTTTGAGGACCACAGCTCTCTTTTTCGATTCTGGAAATGTTTACATCTTGTTACCATTATAAGTTTGTGAGCATATATTGCAGTTTCTTCACGCCCAATTAGAAACAATATATCTGCTGTGTCCCGATCGTCGATTAAATTTTGCAAATCAGACAAAAGCATCTCTACTCCAAGCCAAGTTTTATCCGTAGCTTGAAAGGAATCCATGTTAGGTTTGCACACAGGCTCAAAACAATCAGGCGTTAGAATGTGCTCTTCAGTACCAACTTTCCGCGGTCACAACACTTATAGGCCTGCAATACGTACTGAGTGCAGTGGGCGCTCTTTACGTTTATTGGGATTTTTTTTTTCCCCGCTTAAAAGTTTTGCCTAAGTTAGTGCAAAAACAGAAAATATATCCAAATATGCGGATCTTTTTTCTCAGTAGTTAAATGCTTCTGATCTAGCTTATCCAATTGGCATAGACGGGTATTTATAGGATATTTTTAAAAGTGGCTCAAAACGGTATCTGTGTAGCCATGCAACCAGGAGCCTTTCCCCCCCCCCCTGGTGTAACCCTTTTGTAACTCAGTGATAGGCGCATCTGTGCTCTAATGCACGGTTAACATGAAACAGATTTATTCCACTTCTATCATCATTAGTATAACTTATTGAAATAACAATTGTAAATTCTTAAATAAATTGCTTCACTTTGTCGCAGCAGAAAACGTAGGGGATTACACTAGAATGTAGCTTCAACGATGTAAATGTGTGCCGCTAGCTTGTAGCTGAGTAAGTTAAGTAATTTGCTTAACCCCGATACCCCGATCCCTAAGGATGACCAGCATCTAATTTCTCCTTACAATATCACTCCTGAATTAAACACTAAGGTCAGGAGAATAAAGGAAATGATCACCAGCTAAAGAAGCTCTTGAACGTTAAATAAATTCTCCTTGTCAGCAGCTTAGGAAATGTATAGAGAACAGAAAGGAGAATATTCGTACCGATATTAGGATGTACAGGGTAGTAAGTTTCCCAACCCTTTATGATAGCTTTAGTAGCTTTTGGGGAGGAATTTCCCGGGGAGTTGTTTTTTAACTGTTCCCATCAGACTTTGCTTCTCCTCCAATAATCTTCGGTCGCTTTCTTCTACTTCCTTGGTTGGTAGGCATCCGCCTCGTTTCAAGATCACCAACACATTGCAGCCCAAAACTAACGCTGCGCCTGCGATACTGTAAATGTTGGCAGCGTAATCCAAAAACAGGAGCTGTAAAAGGAAAGCTAACGCTATATCCAGGGTGCGCACGAGAGCGACCACGCCTGCCTTCTCTAACTGCAGGGATTTGGTGAGGAGTGCCTGGCCACCTAGTAAGAAGTCGAAGAAACGAATTTGGCTAAAAATCTGTAAGATTGAGTGATTTGTAGAAACATTTTACTTGGTCCACGGATCCCTTACCCTACCCTCCTTCATCCATATCCTTTCTATCCACTTACCCCACCCCTCTTTCCCAAACGTTGTCAAAAGAGATGTGTTTGTCTGATCAGCCATCCTAGAAGGGAGACTTTATGCAAAAAAAAAAAAACAGTGAAATTTACTGATAAGAAAAGGATGGATACCTGTTTGAAGGGGTGCATCCCGAACAGAGGGCAGATGTGCGGGGTAAACTTACACTACATGTAAACGAGTCAAGGTAGCGTAGCATTATTCACCTCAGAGTAAACTTAAACCTACCCAGTCCACACATGCCAAGTCCAAAAAGGAACCACTCGTGCGAGTGCCCACATATGACACTCTGAAAAGAGCCTGCTGCAAGGATCGCCCCTGTTGTCAGAACCACGCTAGACAACCCGACATAGAATACTGGTACCAAAAAGTTAACGCCTTTGAGTTTTCTGATCGCGATCAGTGCAATAGAAGTCAAAATAGCACCACTCAAAGCAACTAGGCTGGCAGTAATCTATAACAAATAAATTTTTAGGCTGTCAGTTACGTTACCACTAAGACTTGCCTTTTAAGTTGAGTGGGATATGATATCGCCGGGAAAAAGAAATCCCCCTCGCAAATCACTGACATGCCACGCGCGATTTCCTCTCTCGCGCGTGATACTCGAAAGTCATTAATGTATAGGCCATAAGCATGTCGAGACATTCAAATCAGAGTGGACTTTGGATAAAAATTTAAAAATGTGAAAACGAAGTTTGCATTTTTCAAGAATTGTAATCATACCTGTTCAAAGTCGCTTTCTTTGTTGGCTGGCTCTGTCTGTCTCGCGAACAAAAATGTAGGTCTAGCTATCAGCACCACTCCAATAAAGCACAAAAATGTTGCCAAAGCGTCGAAAAGCCCCCAAGCCTCCCCTAAAAGAAAATGCGCCAGAACTCCTGTAAATATGGGTGAGGAAAACACAATAACAGTGGCGTCTGCCAACGGCATATGCTGAAAAGCATAAAACTGACAGCAGAGGGCCAACGTTCCCGCGACACCCCGAACGCACAAAAATGGCAAATGTTTGGTGTCTCCAAATACTGGAACCTCGCTGTAGATTAGCGGTGGAAGAACAAAAATGACTTGGACTAAACTTCGAAAGAAGACCACTTCTTGAGGTGGAATTTCTCGAAGCAGTTTGACAAACAGGGAAGAAAAAGCGAAGAAAACGCACGAAGCCATAGCGAAAATCACCCCTAAAGTTCTCTGTAGTGGGGAGGAATCTTCGGTATTCTCCTTTTCTTCAGCTTTTTTCTTCTTCGGTCGAGACATATTAAAAAAACAATAATAATAATAACTGAAGCCTGCTTCTTACTGCTTCATCAAACAAACATATGTTTGGTTTACTTGCAGTGACTCGGAATACGCTTCATCACAAAATGCAATCGAAAACAGCAGCAGCATCACGATTTTTATTTTTAAAAGCAACCACAGGTACTTAAATTTTCTTTGAAGCCCTGATGTTAAGTTCCCATGAAGATTTTTTAAATTACGTTTTGGAAACAACTGGGGAATTAAAGAACTTAAAAATTCTGTTTTAAAACTAAGGCAGGAATTACATGGTGTGCGTTTTCAATGGGATCATTTACACCGACTTGAATATATTCAAAAGGTAATTACCTTATAAACTGAAAAGACATCTGTCATATCTGAACAAATCTCATCACTTGAAATATTGAGAAAACTGAAATTAAAATGAACCGTTTTAGCTTTAATTTTCTCGAAACTGATCTCGTCAACGAAATTGCAGTCATATAAAACAAAAATTAAGTTTAAACGTTGCATTCTTCGTGTTAAAGAAGTCGCTGATAAGTCAGTGAAAGTCTTCCTAAAGGAATTAATCTCAAACTGACTTAGATTTAGTTTGAGCTTTCCTTGTTCTTTGCCTTCGTCAGAGTCCTCATAATACAATTTTGCTTGACCTTCAGCTGCCTGACTTCCTCAAACGGCGACTCTTCATTGAAAAATACAAAACGAACCATAGATGAGCCACTCAGAGACGCCTACGTCAGTCTGTCTTTTGATTCGAAAGGAGTTTAAAAGGTACACACCTAAGAGAGATTAAGATTCCCATGTGCACCAAGGGACTGGAGACGAGTCTGATATAGCTCATTGATGCACGTTCACGTGTAATTTTAACTGAAATCATCACATTCCTCCCTAAAGTTCACTGAGAATACTAACGAGTGTTGTGATTTGATATCTAAGTGGTAAGGTTGGTGTGCAACACTCTACCCTTCCCCACTAAGGAGATATGGAGGGGGGGGGAGGGCACAACTACATGTAGGGTAATGCAGTAGGTGGAATTCATACAAATGTTAGGAGCAAAGAGTTAACCCTTACTTTAGCCACGTAGTAAATGACATTGAACTCTCTTTTTAAAATGGTTTATGTTCCCCAACCATTTCACGCCCTGTGGAAGCCATATGTAGTCAGAAATTGCACAAAAGAATGGAGCAAATGCTACTTTTAATGACTGTATGCTAGACGAAAACAAATTTCAACAGAGGGATAGTGAATAACCATGTCCCGAATGATGGAACCTATCGCAGTGTTCAGGAGTTATCAAGCTGTATCCATTGGATTAAAACATGTCCTTGATGCTCTAACAACATGTTCCATAGTTTAGATTGTGCTGTTGAAAATCCAGGAACTTCTCTTGCAAAACTTGTTGCCTTCATAAGGAGCAAATCAAGTCCACTGTGGTAATGTTATGGGTTAAAAGCAATCATGTCTGTCTGAGCACACACAGGAACTGGGTTCTGGATATGAACATGTGCTGAACACCATCCCTTCTGCAGAGTCTGTATCTAATTAGATCTTGCTCGCATCTTTCTTCGCTTACGCTTCAGCCTGTGGCAAATGAAAAGGAGCATTGCAATGATCCAAAAATCCCCTCAAACTAACTATTCCCAGCAACTCCAAGGGAGTTAAACATCTTCACATTCTCAGAAGACAAAGTTATGTCACTTCCTAGAAGAAACTGGAGAGCATGGTACAGTAGAACCTTGATTTAACTAAGTGCCAAGGGACTGGGGGAATTGGTTTGCTATGTCAAGGGTTTGTTTTATGGAACACCTTGATTTAACGAAATTCCAGAAAAACAACCAAAATGTGTTCTATTGAGGTAAGGTTAATAATTTTTGCTGCTGTTTTTTTTTTTTGCATGTGTGTGCTTTGTGTCTATATGAAGCTAAAGTACAGTGTTCAGGTCTGGACGTAGCTACAGCACTGGAAACATAATGGGTCAACAAAATTTTAACAATTGCAACTGGCTTTGTCAAATGTCAATGAAAAGGTTAATGAATAGCACAACCAAACAGAAAACCAATTTACTACTAAAATTGCTAATCTAGATGCCCAATCAAAAATTCTTTCACTGTCATAATGAACATGAACAGTGTGTACAGTATTAAACAACGGAACACTACTGTGTAGTATTGGACTCGGTCAAAATAACCCAGGGTTAGATCTGAAAGCTTTGAAGGAAAATTCAGTTTAATTCCATGTGTCTACAATTTGATGATTAAATGCTCTTAAAAGAATTGGGAAAATTATCCCAATACAGCTTTTGAACAGAGAAACAAAGAGACCTGGATTAAAATTTAACCCTGCCTTTGAACAACTGAGCCCTGCACTGTTCAGACTACTGTACTTAAGTTGTTGATAACGACTTTAATTTAAATATTCTTCATATGAGGATTTTGATTGATGTTGGTCAGTTTTGCATTTGTCTTTTGTCACGTGTTGACATTTGTCTGTTACATCAGGATATCCATATACGTTTGAGCTTCTGGATTGTGTTGTTATATCAAGGTTCTGTTGCATACATTTTACTGTAACTTAAGCTTTATGTTTCCGACCCTTTAAACCCTGTTACAAGTTAAGTAACAGTCCAGCTGATTTAGACCTTAAACCAAAAAATTGCTCCACAATCAAGACTACCAATCTTTAAACAAGTCAGCGAAGGCAAAGTTGTAAATGTGTTGACTTCGGGTAGAATTTTGCCACCAATATAAGGATAAAATCGATCGTCATTGGAATATATTCACAGAAGTACCTTCTGAGTGACAGAGCATAATTTACTTGCCAAGGTGTTATATGGAGGTGCACTGCGAATGTTCGTTCTAAATGGGATTAGGTACAACGACAGCTAGAACAGTAACCTGAGACGTGTGCAATGTCGCTATGTCTCTCACATCTACTGAATATATAGTTTGATTGGATTCAAGCGAGAGCAAATGTCTTTTACAATTGACTCGAGACAGAACTACGGTATTACGTTATTGTTATCATTAACATGAAAATTAGCAGCACTTACCTTCGCATACGCTTCTTCCTCCACTGAAATAGCGGAAAAATAACAATATGTTATTCAAAATTGTGGCAACAAACCTCATGCATTCAGAAGACATCTTTGTTCTTTAGACTAGTATTTATTGAGTGAACGGTACTTACCTTGTCTCTCATATTGTTGTCCTCTAGTTTTCTGTTAAATAAAAAACCGGATTTGACGTTCAGTTAGCACCGATGGCCTAAAATTAACGCGATAACCATAGATTTCTACGTAGTAGCACAACACAAACCTTTGAACATGGAGGACGAAAGAGAGCTCGCTTAGGAGAACGTGTCCCGTATGTAGTCCCGAAGAGTAGGTTCCAGGCTCTACTCGGTTTGTTACAGGCTCTCTTTTAAACCTCCCCTCGCTCTACAAAGCTTTGTTAAGCCTGACTCACTAGCGAGGGGAGGTAGGGAGATGGAAGTAGGCTGGCTGACACTTAGGATCGTTAAGAACGAGGAAGGACTGATGTTGCAAAAGTAAACAAACAAATAAATCTTAAAAAATAATAAAAATTGAGGACAAATATCTTTTCCAAACGGTTTTATTCACCAATAACGTATCTTTACAAGCACCGTCCACCTCAGTAACAACCGCTTCACCGGTGAAAATACAATGAAATTAATTTTGTTTCCATACAGAGTATGTATGAATATACCAGATTTTCTATTTATTCCACTACAACGAGGAACCTCGATTAAGAAGTAGTACTCCTGCAACTTAGGCTTACGCATTTTTATCAATAAATGAATCGTATTTATTAAGTGTACTTTGGCGCATATTCATATTGGCCGTGACTGAAGTTGTCACGTAATCATTTTCTTTTATTAAAGGAGAAGCGTTGCGCGACAAATCTTGTGCGACAGACTGCCGTTGTAAATTGCAGTGATTAATAAAATGTGTTGACTATCGTAACTTCTGGTCTGAACTTTTGCAGGTCCAGAAAGTCATGTCATGATTTGTGAGTGACTCAAGCACCAGTGACTTAACAATTTAACCCATAAAACCCTGAGTGACCAGCATCTAATTTGTCCTTTCAATAACACTGTTACATCACTCACTAGGACCACAAGAGTAAAGAATATTTTAGCCAAACTGAGCTTTGATTGTTGATCAAATTCTCTTTATCAGTACCAAAGGAAATGAATAGAGAAGAGAATGGAGAATATGTACACTGATATTGAGGCATAAAGGGTTAAGAGATGTAAAACCAAACCTTCCACTTCGAGAAGTGATTAATAGTAACTTCTCTTCACAATTTCCCTTAACCATCCTGAACACAGATGGTAGACAAACTAAACGGGGTGTTCTTGATACAACACCAAATTCTCTTAACATATTTGCAAAGCAACCTGTGGCAGCCAGTGGGGAGAATTACCAATCAGATTCTGGGAGTAAAAACATTAGCTACAATAAAAACAGTTGCATTCTTCCTCACAAGGTGTCAGTTACTATGTTGAGAAAATATTTTTAATAATACCTCTCTTTCCTTAGAGGAGAAGATGCAAAATTAATTGAAACGCCCAAAAGCCAGAGTGGTACTAATAACCCTTAGGATTCCACAAAGTCTTGGAGCTCAAATTCACTCTGAACATTAACCCGTTCATTTATACATTGATTCTTAAGTTATAGGTGTAAGCTGTCCAAAGCATTTTTTTTTTTATGACCACACCCTATCCTTGCTATTTGTGACTATCCTGTTATAGACCACATTTACAGCCTGGAAAAGGCTATAGTTGCAACTTATGTTTAAGGTTAAATTGAGTCTTTAAATGAAATAACCAACTTCTTTCATACCTTACCTCCCCCCAAACCCCACCTTTGGTGTGAATGGGATGTAACAAACAAACTATGATGCATTGTAAACATTTTTTTTTTTTGCACAAGTTGCTTCTACTATTCATGAGTTATAGATTTTTTTATAGATTGTGCACAAATGGAATTACAATAATTCCCCCTTACAAAAGCTCTGTGATTGTTTCTGTTTCTAGGTTGACTAATGATTTGGTCAAATACCCACTGAGGCTGCAAATTTATGATGAATTTATATATTTGAAGACTGAAGTTGTTTCATTCATTTTAGTAAGCTAGAAGCCAAGACCCAAGTTTTATCCCCTAAAGAAAATATTTGCAAGGCTCCTTTTGCAAAGACTGTAGGAAAAAGGCAAGATTCATCCACTAACATTCCATTTGCTAATCAAATTCTACTGTGAACATAATTTAACACAAGTCAAAACAGTAAAAACAAAAAGCAACTTTGAAGAGAGGGTCCATTACACTTACAACTGACCAATAGCTAATTTGAACAAAATTTCAACACTCAACACTTATTTTGATTGAACCACAACTCCTACCTAAACAATTTACAGTAATTCAGGAATTCAATTTTCAAGTTATTCACTTTATAAACAGAGAGGCATAATTTAATGGCAATCAGTGTGAATTTAAGTGTCATCTATCTATATTAACCTCATTAACTTCTTTCAAGGGTATATAACCATTGGCTCGCGCTGCTCCAGGTTTACCTATGTCCTTTTGAAGTTCCTGTGTGCTTTGATTCTCACTTTTAATTTCCTGTTTCTCCTTCTGTACATTCTCTGTTTGTTCCTGGATTTCATTATCAGCCACACCTTCTTCCTTGCCATGATCCTCCCCTGTTCCATTTTCAGCTGATTTGGCCCCATTCAGCTGCTTCTCAGAGACAGGCCCATCTTTCTTATTTCTTTGTGTGCCCCTTCTTCTTGATGGCCTTTCTCTTCTTTGAGGTAGTGCCTCTTCCTTCTTCACTCCTTCTTTTTCTAGAACATGGGCATGCTCACCATTGGAACTATGACTGTTACTGCTGTCTGTGAGTGTTTCCATTCCATTCAAGACAGGGCCGTTGGGTAAAGATGCTCCATTTTTTACCTCCTCAGTCTCTTCAGTAGTGCCACTTTCCTTGTTAGTGCTCTTTTTTAAATCACAATCCTCTTTTTCACTGACTGTTTTCATAACCTCCTTGTGAAATGAACCTTTATCAACAGGATCATTTTTAAGGGGACCATTTTCAAGCTTCTCTCCTGGACCATTCCTCTTAGGACCCTCTGCCCCTCCTCCTCTACCACCCCTTCTTCTGTCCCTACCGCGAGGCCCATCACCCCGCCCTGTTCTCTGGTTGTTTCTTGGTTGTGAATTTCTGTTTCCTGAGTGTACATCTCCCTTAACAGACTCGGGTTGTGGTGACACAACTTTATTGCTACTCCCAGATGATTTCAAGCTTTCATCGGCCTCTACTTTTTGCTGAGCAAGATCAGTCTTCTGAGCTACAGGAGTGTCTATATTCTTGGGCCTCTCCATCTTCTCATTTGGAATTTCAGACCTAGGATTTCTTTGTCTTGCACTCCGCTGATAAGGTCCTCTAGAATTCCTGTTAGATTGGTTATTATATTGCCTATCTTGTACTGCACCCCTTGTTTCTGCTGAACGGTTCTGTTTGGTCCTCTCAGGCTGTCGATTCTGGTCTCTCCTCCTTTGCTGATTCTGTGACGTCTGCTGTTTGTCTGTTGTGTGTGAAGCTGAATTTGATTTGTCGTTCTTTTGATCAAGTGTTTCCTGTTTTTGTCCTAAAAAATGAAAAGCAATAGGTTTGTTCCCTGGTCATAAACCCAGCCCTTATTTCTCATGTTCAATTTTCATCACCAGTAATAATGAATTTGCATATCACATCTTCACTGTGACAATTTTGTTTTTCTCTGAAAGTTTTACACTATTTTCTCTCTTCCCAAACACATACAAAGGTGACAAATTTAACACTTTTACTTCTAGAGGTGCAAACTTAATGAAGAGATGAAAAGTAACATCTTCACTGAACCCTTAAACATCCATGAGTGACCAAGACAGAATTTCTCCTTACAATATCAATACAATATCAAGCAGACAAGTGATGAGAATAAAGAAAATTGCCAATTGGGGGATTATTAGTTGATGCAGTACCAAATTCTCCCTACTAACATCATAAGAATTGTCTAGCAGACAGATAGGAGAATTGCTAATGAGATCTCGAGAGTTAAAGCTAAATAGCCCACAAGATAACACAGCTTATCCTAGTCTCTGTAGCAAACTCCAGTGTAGGTTATCCCCCTCTAGCATTTTGTCAGGTTTCCATGACAGATCATTGTTACATATTCATATTCCTGGGCAGAGAGAAGAATCATGAGTTAAAGTGTCTTGCCCAAGAACACAACACAATAAACAAGACAAGTCTTGCAGCCAAACCTCTCCTCTTAGATTGCAGCAGACTAACCCTTAAGCGATTCTGCCCTTTTATAAAAGTTTGTAATATTTTATAAATAAATTACATTCATCTATAATCAAGTACCTTCCACATGCCCTTCACTGGGTGATGCCAAACCCTGTGAGTCAAAAAATGAGAGTAAACCTTTAACATAACTGTTTGACAAAGAAAACATGAAAATTACATAAAGTAATCCTTCTATTCAACAGACACAAATTTATTGAAAAAAAAAATGGAAGTACAGAGGCCCTCTAAGAGATCATTGGGATATGGGATATTTGGGTCAAAAATTCATTTGTTGGGATTTAGGATACTTGAGGACAAAATTAACAGGATATGTGATATCTGAAATAGAGATTTCAGAATATTGAAGTGGAATTGGGGAATTAAAACTACAGGAATTGATGGAATACAGGACTTTCAAGCCAAAAATTAATGAGATACTGAATACTCATGCCCCAACCAATGTGGCCTCTGAGTACTGCCAACTTACTTGATCCCGCAGGGCAGCTTGAAGCCTTGCATGTAGTTCTGCCACTTCTTGGAGGGTTTTCTGTGAGGATACAGAATTCTCCACACTGGAAGTGGAAACAGGTGCACTAGTATTTGCAGGAGCTGGTGGCTGGGGTGGCTTGAGGGAAGAAACATTTTCAGCTGCTATTTTTTTATCATCATTGTTTCTTTCCACTTTCTTCTTTGGCAGTGATGGAGGGTTTAATGTCACAGGGCTGTAACAACTCTTAATAGGGACAACTATCAATGAACACAAAAGACACAAATATACAAATGAATAAAAACAACTATTGATAGTAAATTTTACCAAAATTGGCAGTTGTCAAAAGGAATACCGACAATAGGGACCTTACGCAACCATGACAGCGACGGCAACGAGGAAGTGGAAAAACAAGAGATCTAATTGGCAGAACAATAGCTCAGCACGTGCGTTTTGAAAATTTGTACATTTCTTAGCCGTCCTATGCAAAACAACAACGGCAAATTATTTTCATTTCCATTTGGAACTCAACGCTTCTTTTATACGTCATGCTGAAGTTGAGCTGTGGCGCCGTATAAGACAGTAAGCTCCTGCAACCATTTTTTAAATTCTAACTAAGAGTAGAAATTTTTTTAATCGCAGTCTTCCTTGGCATTGCCATCCTGATTGCGTAGGGTCCCTAATGTTGCTGTCACCCACTGTGTCACGATGACCGAAAGAATCATTTTATTTGTTGTTATTGTGGTAAAAAACATATTGAGAGTTGTTAAGCCTGGTCTGTTTTCTTACTGTCAACCACATTTCTCATCACAGTGGCTAGAATTTGTTGCAGACTCACTTGGCTGCACTGCACAAGACTACAACATTTTGACAAGTATGATGATTAATTGCATTGTCACTTAGAGTACAGACAATGCTAACCACTGTTGATTTGTTACATATGCAAAAAGGTTGGCTAAGCTGATTGTGGATATATATAGAGTTTAGTGAGAACTACATGTACTGGAGCTGGGGAAACAATTAAATCTATTCGTAAATGAGCATTCTTAACCAACAAATCAAGAACATATACGCTTGAGAAAATCAAGTCATTTCTTACCTGCACCAAAATTGGCAATCATTGAAAACAACTGATCCTTGTCTGCCACAAAACGAGTAGTTCTGGCAAGCTCCTCATCAATTTTACGTTCAGTGACAAAATTCTAGTAAAAGTGGTAAACAATAAATAAACTTTACTTACTGAGACATCAACTATGTTCGAGAACTACTCAAGCCCACTCCCTTAAAGAATTAGTTTTTACACTCATTTATGTCACCAGATTCAACTGCCAAAGAGAAAAAGATTAAAAAAAAAAAAAACAAAAAAACAAAAAACGTTAATTGAAGCTCCCCCCTAGGGCTTTTCAGTCACAATGTAGACTAAGTACTTGAAAATTCCCACTGGCAGGAGGCAGACCCGTGGGCTATTTACAGAGCGCAGCCAAGGAGTTGAACTAGGGGCAACCGAGGACAAATCCAGTGAGTGGCAGGGTGGAGGACTTGAACCCAGGAGACCGGATTACAAGTCCAGCACCCTAACCACTCAGCCATACCGCCTCCACAAAAGAAAAAAAGAAAAAAAGTAGGGAAAAAAAAAAGAAGTGTGAAAATTGTGAAGGCAGGCATTCAGACCATTTTTGTTACTCGCACCATTTAAACTCAGTTTTGCTCGCAAAAAAAGTTGTTCATATCCTCATACCTTGTTAAAGCTGGGGGGGGAGGGGCATGAACTACCTAATTTTTTTAACCCTTACACTCAGTAATTCTCCATACTGTCTGCCATACAGTTCTTATGATGTTAGTTTGGAGAAATTGGTATTGGATCAACCAATATTCCCCCGATTGAAAGTTTTCTTTATTCTCGTCACTTGTCTGCTTGATATTAGGGACCTTAAGCAGTCAGGACAGCAACGCCAAGGAAGACTCAGATTAAAAAATGAATTTCTACTCTTAGTTAGAATTTCAAACCTGGCTGCAGGAGCTTACCGTCTCGTATGGCGCCACAGCTCAGCTTCAGCACAACATATAAAAGTAGCATTGAGTTCCAAATGAAAATGAAAATAATTTGCCCTCGCGGTTTCGGCTAAGAAATGTACAAAGTTTCAAAATGCATGTGCTGAGCTATTGTTCTGCCAATTAGATCTCTTGTTTTTCCACGTCGTCGTTGCCGTCGCCGTCGTGGTTGCTTAAGCTCCCTATTGTATTGATATTGTAAGGAGAAATTCTGTCCTGGTAACTCATGATTATTCAGTTTGCTACTCTAATCTCACCTTAATTTCACTCCTTAATTGTGTAACTTCATTCTCCGGCATCCCCCCCACTCGGTCAGATTTTAGTTTTAATGCTGCTGCATTTTCCTGTCTCTGTTCCAACAATTCAACTGCAAACAGTCAGAAATGTTTTCAAAAACTATCACAGGGAGTTTGGTTATATCATCTAAGTTGAAATTGTAAATTGGCCACCATAGCGAGTTAAAAAGCTGACGTTTCGAGCATTAGCCCTTCACTATAACCAAATTACCTTGTTATATATCTCCACTGATGCAGCACCACAGTTTCTTTAGAAACTTTAACCCTTTATCACAGGGTCAGTATTTACCAATTACTATTGATAATGATAGTTCAAATTTTTACTATTATGGACTATTCTACAGCACATGTCAGCCATTGTTCCCACTTGACCCTTTACACCCTTGCATCAACATGCATATTCTCCACAATGTTCCCTTTACATTTCCTGAAGTGCTGCTAAGGACAATTTTTTAATTAACAATCAAGAATGTCTTTAGATGGTGATCATTTCCTTTCTTCTCAGAAATTAAATGTGTGATTTGGGGGTGATATTGTTGGGAGAAATTACATGCTAATCACTCTTAGCCCGAGGGGTCAAACTTAAGGTTTTTTCACAAGTAGTCACACCTGCCACCCCCCAGAGTACGAAAATCTGGAGATGTCTAAAAGTTTTTGCATTGAAAGAATGTCATTCCCTCAAAACCTGAGGGAAGGGCACCTAAGAATTCTTTTTGCAGTGAACCGAAATTTATGCTGGCCATCCTCAATTCGACCGATGTAAACCACGCATGATAACCTGAACTACACCAAATTTCTATCATGTATTGTGTAATTGGATTGGTTGAATTCTCACCAATTATGATACTTGTTAAATGTATACCAATTTGATTGCTCTGTTTTACTTTTTTTGATCAAGGACAGCATAAATTAGAGCACTAAAAATTTTTTTACATCTTGAAAACAACAAAATTATTGAAAATAAATTGAAAAAAGCCATGGTAGGAATTTCCTGGGAGATTTGGTGCTCTAACTGAGAGACCAGGAGATTAAATGAAAAACTCAGAGACTGCCACGAAAACCAGGAGAGTTAGCGGGTATCAGTAGTCTCTGATTGAGCTGACACATTTAACAATCATTTCATCATCTGCAAGAAAACCATGCTGATCACTAAGTCCACACTATGCCACGAAATTTAACCAACTAACCTGCCTGCTTTTTAAATTCAGTCATTTGTCCAAGAAGGTGAGCTTCCCTGTCATTCAAACTTTGTAAAATTTATAAGAAAATCTGTCAGTTTTTAATTACCAATTTACAACTAAAAAGTTCTATTAATATATTATGCAATGATTACATCAACAAACAAAAGTTTTCAAAGGCATTTGTAACCTAACTCACCATTGACGTAACTCTTGAAATATCTGTGAAATTGACTTAGAGGACTTTTCACATTCCTGGGAAAAGAATTTAAGACCACTGTCAAGCATTTCAGTGATGAAAATTAAAAAATCCCCTACAAGAGAAAAATGTGCTGATGGATCTTTGAATTAAAGGTGTTTTTAAATTAATAATTGGTTGTTAGGTATCTCAAGAACAGAAATTCTTGAGATAAGGGGCTTGAAGTTTTAACTTGTTAAAGTATGCATCTTACCACCCTTTGCATTTCAAAAGTGTATGTCCTTAAGCTCTTTCATTTAACTCTTTAACTCTCATGATTCAATTGTTAATTCTCCACACTATTTGTTACACATTTCCTTGTAAATTAGTTACAAGAATTTGGGGTTAGATCAGGAGGACAACCTCTACCTGATAAGTTTGAGTATTCTCCTTAACTGTTTGCTGAATAATTTGACAATATTATAGGGAGAAGTTACATGTTGATCACTTCAGGGAGTTTAGGGATTTAGACTATTTACCTCCTCCAAGAGAAGTTGAAAACGTGGAAGTGAAACACTAGAGCGCTGCAGATCCTTAACAGTTTTCTTGAGGGCATCGGGACCAGAAGAAATCATCCTTTCAAACTTTAAATTTGAATGGTTGGTCTGACTAGAGCAACCTGGTGTATGTTTCAAGGTAGTCTGAGTATCTTGTGAAGAATCTACCGGTTGGTCACAGTTGGAGGATGGAAGGGAGACTTCAGTGCTAGATGGTAAAGGTGGCTGAAGATGCAGTGGGCCCACAGATTGGGGAGCACATTTCAGAGTGGTTGATTCAGCATGCGTTGGCTTCTTGTAACCTTCTTTGGATGTAACAGGTGCATCTGGGAAAAACAAGATTCCAGATCAAAATTTCACAACTTTTTTCCAAAAAGAGATCAAAGTGTCCTCACATTTTAATTTATAACAACATCAGACAGACAGGCAACAAAGAGTAAGAAAGATTGAGTAACATGAACAGGGAGAAGATCTGAACAGGGGGCCTCTAGCATGACGCAGTGAAAACAAGAAATGGAATACAAGAAAAGTTCATCCCAATGTTATTTCTCTACAAGGGTACAAAAACCACAGAGACCATGTAACTAACCTCACCCCTAGACACAATACTTTTATTACTTACAGTGAATATATGAAGTTCATATATTTTGAACTGCAGTATTAGATACGTATGATGCACGATCCTCGCAGTAGAGAGCGCTATTTATGCAATAGCGGAAATCAGACCCAAATGAAAATAATTTGCCATCGCGGTTTCGGCTAAGAAATGTACAAAGTTTCAAAATGCATGTGCTGAGCTATTGTTCTGCCAAT